AGAGTATTTCTTAACTACCGACTCAGAGAACCGGTTACAAAAATGCGCACCCTGATCACTTATTATAGCTCTAGGAAACCCAAAATGACTAAAGATGTTTTCATGCAAGAATTTGATAACTACTTTATGATCGTTTGTTCGGGTAGCTGTCGCCTCCACCCACTTAGAAACATAATCCACTACCAAGAGAATATATTCAAACCCGAATGAAATCGAGAAAGCGCCCATAAAATCAATCCCCCAAACTTCAAAGATCTCTACCACAAGAATAGGGGACATTGGCATCATATCACGACGAGATATCGAACCCATTTGCTAATAGCGCAAACAAGTTCTACAAAATTGATGGGCATCTTTAAAAATGGTGGGCTAATAAAACCTTCTTTGTAAAACCTTGGCGGCCATTTTATGCCCACTAAAATGACCGCCACATGCAGAAGAATGACAAAATGTAAGAATTCTATGCACCTCATTCTCTAGCACACACCGTCAGATCACTTGGTCGGAGCAATATTTAAACAACTCCAGATCCTTCCAAAAATAATACTTGACTTGCGAAAAGAATCGGTCTTTGTCTTGCTTAGACCAATTTTTAGGAATTTGCCCAATGGCCAAGTAATTCACAATATGTGCAAACCACGGGGGCTCGCTCGTGACACCACAAGAAGTTGTTCATTCAGGAACGAATCATGCAAAGTTAAAGGGTCACTAGTATACTCAATAAGGACTCAGGAGAGGTGATCTGCCACCACATTCTCAGATACTTTCTTATCTCGAATCTCTAGGTCAAATTCATGAAGCAACAAAATCCATCTAATCAACCTAGGTTTGGTCTCTTTCTTTGATAGTAAATACCACAAGGCATGATCAGTGAAAACTATGACCTTGGAACCTAGAAGATAGGACCGAAATTTATCTAAGGTAAAGACCATATCTAGCAACTCATTCTCGGTGGTAGTGTAATTCAATTGTGCATCCGAGAGAGGGCGACTAGCATAGTATATAGCATAGGGTGCCCTATTGACCCTTTAGCTCAACACAGCCCTGATAGCATAATCTGAGGCATTACACATGATTTCAAAGCGAAGCGACCAATCTGGTGATTTCATTTTTGGGGCGGTAATAAGGGCCACTCTCAGTGTTTCAAAGGCTTTCAAACATGCCTCATCAAATATAAAATGTGTGTCCTTAGCAAGTAAACCACACAAAGGACGGGATATTTTACCAAAGTCTTAATGAACCTACGATAAAAACCTACATGCCCTAAGAAAGATCGGACTTGACGCATAGAAGTGGGTGGACGAAGGCCTGCAATGAGATCAACTTTAGCTTTGTCTACCTCTATACCTCGAGGGGACACAATGTGTCCCAACACTATACCCCCACGAACCATAAAATGACTCTTCTCCCAACTCAAAATCAGGTTTGCCTCAATACATCATTCCAACACTCTAGTCAAATTCCTGAGGCATTCCTCAAAAAATGGTCCAACACCGAAAAATCATCCATGAAAACCTCTAGAAATTTCTCCACCATATCGGAAAAAATGGCCATCATACACCGTTGAAAAGTCATCGGTGCATTACATAGCCCAAAGGGCATGTGCCTGTAAGCAAAAGTGCCAAAATGGCAAGTGAACGTCATCTTTTCTTGGTCAGCGGGGTACACCGTCACTTGATTATACCCCGAATAGCCATCAAAAAAATAAGAAAAACCCTACCCCGCTAACCTCTCAAGAGTTTGATCAATAAATGGCAAAAGAAAATGGTCCTTCCTAGTCATGGGATTCAATCTCCTATAATCAATACACACTCGCCACCTAGTAGTGGTTCGTGTGGGGATTAACTCTCCTTACTCATTCTCTACAACGGTGATGCCTGATTTGTTGAGCGCCACTTGTGTGGGATTCACCCACTTGTTATCCGAGATGGGGTATATAATACCCACATCTAACAATTTCAAAACCTTTTTTTTCACAACCTCTTTCATGTTGGAATTAAGTCTCCATTGCATTTCCCGAGAAAGTTTGGTGTCTTCCTCTAGATGTATATAATGCATGCATATGGATGGATCTATCCCTTTCAAATCAGCCACCGACTACCCTATAGCACTCCGATGTGCCACAAAAACACTCATTAATTGACTTTCCTGCTCTGCAGTTAAGTCAGATGCAATGATGACAGGTAAAGTATCCATTGGCCCTAAAAATGCATACTTGAGTGTAGTCGGGAGTGCCTTCAACTCAAGTGTAGGTGGTGTGACTAGAGATGGTATGGCAGGCTCTCTAGACAAAGGAAGAAGGGACTCAAACCGGGCTTTCCACGGAGGAAAATCCAATGTAGAAAAAGAATTAAGTAAGGCATTCACCTCCTCAACTAACCCATCAATATGAAAATCCTTGAACCCAAAATGAGCTAAAAAAGCCTTTAGAGGGTCCTCTACAAGAATGAAAGGTAAAACCTCATCCATAATCCCATCCACAACATCCATAAATAAACACTTCTCTCTTTCATGGGATTGTTGGGTTGCTTGGAAAACACTGAGTTTCACTTGTATATTTCCAAATGAAACATCCATAACCCCGATACGACAATTTATGTATGCATTGGCCGTATCCAAGGAAGGTCGGCCTAAGATCACTGGGATTTGTTTCCTAGAATTGGCTATCGGTTCCATATCTAAAACCAAAAAGTCAATAGGAAAATAAAACCTATCGACCTTTACTAGCACATCCTCAATTATGCCACGTGGCACTTTGAGGGACAGGTCAGCCAATTGAAGTATGATAGTAGTGGGCTTCAACTCGCCAAGCCCAAATTCCTCATACACAGAGTACGACAACAAATTGACAGTAGCCCCTAAACCTAACAAGGCCCTATCAATGAAGTGGTCCCCTATAATGCATGCAATGGTTAGGGCACCCGGGTCTTTAAGCTTAAGTGTTATGTCACTCAATAAGATAGAGCTTACTTGCTCTGTGAGTATGACCTCTTGGGACACGTGCGTCCTAGATTTACGCTTTGCGTACAAAGGTCATTCAAAAATTTAGCATAGGAGGGTACTTACTTAATTGCCTCCAAAGGGGGAGGTTGATTTTCACTTGTTTAAAGACCTCCATCATCGTTGCCATGGATGCCACCTTCGACAGTGTATTAAGGCATTGGAAAAAGGGTGCCTTAGGCACATATGGTGCCTTAGGCTCATGTGAAGTGTTAGGGACTAAGTCATCACCCTTGGGTGTTTCTCCCTTACCCTTGGCCTCTTTGGGTTTACCACCGTGGTCACCCTTCTTAGCCTTAGTTGCTTTAGACGCAACTGGCCGAGCCTCTAACTCCCTCTCATTTCTCAAGGTAATCACCACGTGCATCTGTTCATGGTGCTTTCTATTCCCACTCGACCCCTCTGCCCTATATTGACCCTTAGGGTTGGCCACAATCTGACTCAGTAATTTTTCCTCCTTTCTCTTATTGATGTTGTTAGTCATTTGACCTAGTTAGGCCTCTAGCTTGGCAATAGAGTGATTATGGGAGTGAACTACTAGTGCTAACCCCTTAAGTTCTGAAAGAACTTCCAACACCTGAGTCTCAAAGGCAGAGTTACCCTGAGGAACAGGCGGGGGTTGTGGTTAACACATCTGCCCTAGCATTCTTCAATAAGGACTTAACCACCGTTTGTTTACCTCGATCATTTAACCCCCACACATTCCAAGTCAAAAGTTTCAAACGCATGGCAACAAAAGGGATCACCCCTCTCCTTTCTTAATCGTCAGTCTTCGCCTCGCTTGTTTCGATCATAATTTATTGAACACTCTAGTCTCCGCAACTCCCGAACCCTTTTATCTTTTTTAACTGGTAATGATGAAGCAGAGTTAGCAGCCCTCAAAGAGAAACTCGCAAAAGAATTTCACATTAAGGATCTGGGAGCCCTCAAGTATTTCCTCGGAATGGAATTTGCAAGATCCAAGGAAGGTATATTCGTTAATCAGAGAAAATATGTTCTTGATCTCCTTAGATATGATAGTGGTAGATAGTGGTAATATATAATATGTAAGTGGCATATAATGGGTTATGATGATGTTTGTAATATCTCCTATATAAGGAGTGTCATTTGGTCTTGTAAGATGAGAAGTTTTGAATATAACAGAAATATATTCCTTCTTCCTCATATTTTCGGAGTTCTTCTTCTTCATATTTTCTAAGTAGTTCTCATGGGCAACCTAGGGTTGACCCTTACCCAAGGGTGATCCATTAGGAAAAAAAGAGAGAGAGAAGGGAAAATTACAAATAAGTTGGAATTAGGAAATATAATCTCAAATCAGAGAAGAGCTTTTAAATTGTAATACTGGTGCGAAGAAGGAAAAATAATTAACGAGGGGTGGAAACTACTACTTGAATTGACCAAGCTACTCTCATTTTCCTTCATCCTCTTCTCTCCTGCTCTTCCCTCTCCAACAATTGACACTGACCATCCCTTGCTGGCCACCACTGCGCGACTCTGCCCTACCACCCCCAACCCTCCGGCCAACCCCAGCCCCTCCCTGCCCTTCATGCAATTGCCACAACTAGCGCCTCCCCGCGACCCCTAGTCGCCACCACTATATGCTATACGAATCAAAATAGAAAATTTGTGATTGTTCTTTTCTCAAATTATTCCTACGTTCTCTCGTGATGATTCCAATTGCAGTCCCCCACAAGTGACCTAGAGAAAATGGTAGCCTAATATCGTAGAACACAAACTTGCCTTTTTAATTTATTGAATATAGAAAGGGAATATGAAAGCAACTATTGATACAGTTACGAAATTGATATTTTTTCATATAATGTATTTCAAAAAATATACAGTTATACAACTGTTTTTAGACATTGCAACCTCTGAAGTTTATATGAGAAACGAGCACTTGGCACTATTATAAAGAAAGGAAGCCTATGGAATGACTAGAACATGTAGTACTACATTGATTGCAGCACAACAATTTGATATTGTGATAGCAACAAATAAATAAATAAGAACAAAATCTAGCACTCAGTATTTCCTTCCATGAAAACAAATGTTAGCCTAGTTATAAGTGAAAAACAAAGGTAAAAAAGTGTTACCTTGAAGTCATCAATCAAGGCAAAGTCCGGAAAGAAGGGCAAAATATCCTCAATTTTTAGCAGCCCGTCAGTTTCCTTGAGAAATGCTATTGCTTTTCGAATGTTTTCCCTTTTAGTTCCCTTTTCTTGTTCAACAACATGTTTGGCAACCATGAGCCAGAGCTTCTTCCTTAAGTCTTCATCATCTTCAACCTTGTCAGCTTCAGCCTTAGCAAGTTCTGGGTCAACCTAGCACACCGAAAGAAGAACTCCATGAAACAACAGCATACAAGATTTCTGAAAAGATTACAGTGTTTGAGCACAAATAACCATTAACGTTTTCAAGAACAAGCAAGTGAATAAGAAACTGTACCAAAATATTTTAAGCGAAAAAAACAATTAGCCACAAGATACATCTTTAGTACATTGACAGCAAACTAAATTCCAAGCCTTTAGACACAAAGTAAGTTTGTCCATTTCTCATTTTAAAAGTATGTCTCAAGTCTCAACCACCCAATTCCTTCTAACTGTTACATGATCAAATCTTGCAACACTCATAGACAAAAGAATTAAAGAAATATAAGTTTAATAGACCCATAGCAAAGATACAAGGCATCTGACAACTCATCTCAATTTAAAGCTTTTCAGCCAACCAATTTCAATCTAGTTTAAAGACTCCAGAAAGTATATGGGAAACAAGGGGGAATTGGGGAAGGGCACAGATTCGATGGTTATAGAACCCCAATGATCATCCAGCCATTCTGATCGTAACTGATTGTAAAATTGATCCCATTTTGAACATAATCAGTTGCCCCACTGGCACATGAAAATATTTGGAAAAACCCATTAGAAATTAAACTGATCATTCCAAAAAGGTGAACCATAATAATATTGGAAGGTTAACTGCCAAATCATGTAAAAGATGCTAGACAGTTGGTGATTAACAATTTAACAGCTTCTTGTTTTTTTTTTCTTTTTTGTGGTAAAGTACAATATAACAGTTATGTAAAGTAGAATAATGGTAACAAAATAAAACTGGTGAAATTTGGTAAATTTAAATTTTATCCACCATAGAGAGCTAATTTAGTCACATCCATGCAACCAATTAAGTGAACTTTGTATCACTACTTGAACACCTTCAGTTCAATGTCCATTTACAATGGACCCATCAAAAAGCACCTGCAGGATGTGGTTTTTCCCATGCCCTCTTTATGTACACCAATAAAAACGTAAAAGTTCCAGAATGAATCTTTTTCATGTGCCATTATTAAAATTGTATGATTCAAACAATCACATGACCATGTGGTTTCTAGTCAAATAAGGAACAAATGTTATTGCCATAAAGCGTACAACTTATGCTAGGCAAAAACAAGGTAATGTATGAAGAATGCCATTACTGCTGAAGAGAAGAAGGGGGGGGGAGGGAAATCAAAGAACCAATGAACACAACCAACCCAATTGGATAATAATACTACCTGTAGAGCAAGAGCAACTGCTTCTTCATGCATGGACATCATGCTATATATATGAACACAAGCCCTCATCCGCTTTTCCTTAAGGCAAAGGCGCAGGGCATATTTGGGATCATAGAAGAATTCAGGGCCGCTAAGCTGTCCTTTGCCAAACTTGCATTGCAGGAAACGAAGAAGGGCACTGTCATCCTCCTAATTGTGACATGGAAGGAAAACTAATATCAGACTGAGATGCATTTTAAGCATTCATTACTTGTTTTTGTGGAGGGAAAAATCATGCAATAATCTCACTGGTTATATGTAAATAGATAGATCTTTTGAAGAAAAAATGTCTTAAAGAAATTTGTAAGATGAAAGTTCAATGTCACGATGCAATTGTAACTAGAGATTATACGTTCTCCTCAAATCCCATACAGCCTACAAATATCCCCAAAAAAATACACCAGTTGAACTCAATTCTATTGGAACATGAGCATCTTGAACAAGTGAAATTCCATGACAACACCCATTTTCCTTACATGAGAACCATTCTGCTAATGAATCTACAAATCTGCATTTATTAAATTTGGTATTGGGCCACCTCAATTTTCAAACTTACTGACTAGTATAAAATTCCATTTGATGTGTGTCTCCATTCGTAACATGAATATTCCAAACATGTACCAAAAGGCCCAAAACATAACAAAGACAATATCAGATATTGCAAATGCAACAAAACAAATAGAAAGCATTACTACATTATTAAGTTAAAACATTCACAGTAATTTCCTTGATCTGGAATATATAATATATATATATTCAACCTATTCTCCCTCTTAAATACCAGAAACATGCTCCAAACTGGCAATCCTAGAGTATTTAAACAAAAATCTACTTGGACACAATGGTAATCCTAAAATAAAAGATAACTACATAAAATAAAAAATAATATGTTTCAATAATAGCAATATGAGGAGATTAAATGAGTTATAAAGAGAGACAACTTTAACATCACTGTATATACAATAGCAGCAAGGAGCTACCCATATTGCCTACCAAGCATTCAGGTGACATGCTCCGTTTGAGGCTCAACAAGGAGTAAAATCAAAGAAATTAACTTTAAAATTAGCATCAGAACCACATACACGATTGTTTAGGTCAGGCATGAATTTAGCCAATTTTTTAATTTGTTTTCTGTTTCAAAGGTCGAATTTGACTGCAAGATGTGCTGAAGTGGGCTGCAGTCATCACCATATGGTATTACTCCAAATTAAGCTGTTGGGTCTTTGTATATGGTTTTTAGTTGATTCAAATGGTGCCAAATTCTTTAGCTTCTGTATGTGGATTCATTACCCAATTCAACATAGCTATGCAATGCTTTTAGTTAAGTAGAGAATAAGTTAAAAGTAAATTTAATAGTTATGCTATTTGAGGATTGTGTGATGCAATTCTAGCCCCAATTCTGTATATTCCTATTGGAATCTACATATGACATCTAGCATTTTTTTTCTACTACTTTCCTTTTACTTTCTACACTTCAGTAGACTTTTAAAGCCCACAGCCAGACATGATCGCCCTTTTGCTTTACCTTTAAAATATCAATGGACATGCCTAGTCCATCTTTCCTTTAGTCCTACTGCAATCCACATAAAAGTAGCCAAAATCAGCAAAGGGTACAGCTCATGGTACTGTTCAAAGCCCCAAGAACAGCCCTCAATTCTCGTTCATCCTTCTTTAACAAGACCCAAACTTTAATTCCTTCTATATAATATCATAATCCTTAAAAAGCTCAAAATTTTACAAGCATCTAACCATAAAATCAGCACATAATACCACTTCTGCCACTGCCCAATATCACCTTGGGAATTAAAGCTTGTGAGACTGTCCCATCTGCACTCATCATAAATCACCATGGAAGTGAGAGAATAAAAAAAAAAAAGAACCTCAATACAGAGCATATTGAGTTCAGATTATATTTTCATTAGCTTACCCATTTATATATATAGCTTCATGACACTGTAAAGATCTACAGAAGCAGTCCAGGTAGCTAAGGCAAATAAAATATATCCAACCTATTTTACATGGACTTTCAGTTTTGGTGAAGTACCCATGTTAACATGACAGGACATAGGTATAGGAGGACCCATCAAAAAGCACCTGCAGGATGTGGTTTTTCCCATGCCCTCTTTATGTACACCAATAAAAACATAAACGTTCCAGAATGAATCTTTTTCATGTGCCATTATTAAAATTGTGTGATTCAAACAATCACATGACCATGTGGTTTCTAGTCAAATAAGGAACAAATGTTATTGCCCTAAAGCGTACAACTTATGTTAGGGAAAAACAAGGAAATGTATGAAGAATGCCATAACTGCTGAAGAGAAGAAGGGGGGGGGGGGGGGGGGAGGGAAATCAAAGAACCAATGAACACAACCAACCCAATTGGATAATAATACTACCTGTAGAGCAAGAGCAACTGCTTCTTCATGCATGGACATCATGCTATATATATGAACACAAGCCCTCATCCGCTTTTCCTTAAGGCAAAGGCGCAGGGCATATTTGGGATCATAGAAGAATTCAGGGCCGCTAAGCTGTCCTTTGCCAAACTTGCATTGCAGGAAAGGAAGAAGGGCACTGTTATCCTCCTAATTGTGACATGGAAGGACAACTAATATCAGACTGAGATGCATTTTAAGCATTCATTACTTGTTTTTGTGGAGGGAAAAATCATGCAATAATCTCACTGGTTATATGTAAATAGATAGATCTTCTGAAGAAAAAGTGTCTTAAAGAAATTTGTAAGATGAAAGTTCAATGTCACGATGCAATTGTAACTAGAGATTATACGTTCTCCTCAAATCCCATACAGCCTACAAATATCCCCAAAAAAATACACCAGTTGAACTCAATTCTATTGGAACATGAGCATCTTGAACAAGTGAAATTCCATGACAACACCCATTTCCTTACATGAGAACCATTCTGCTAATGAATCTACAAATCTGCATTTATTAAATTTGGTATTGGGCCACCTCAATTTTCAAACTTACTGACTAGTATAAAATTCCATTTGATGTGTGTGTCTCCATTTGTAACATGAATATTCCAAACATGTACCAAAAGGCCCAAAACATAACAAAGACAATATCAGATATTGCAAATGCAACAAAACAAATAGAAAGCATTACTACATTATTAAGTTAAAACATTCACAGTAATTTCCTTGATCTGGAATATATAATATATATATATTCAACCTATTCTCCCTCTTAAATACCAGAAGCATGCTCCAAACTGGCAATCCTAGAGTATTTAAACAAAAATCTACTTGGACACAATGGTAATCCTAAAATAAAAGATAACTACATAAAATAAAAAATAATATGTTTCAATAATAGCAATATGAGGAGATTAAATGAGTTATAAAGAGAGACAACTTTATCATCATTGTATATACAATAGCAGCAAGGAGCTACCCATATTGCCTACCAAGCATTCAGGTGACATGCTCCGTTTGAGGCTCAACAAGGAGTAAAATCAAAGAAATTAACTTTAAAATTAGCATAAGAACCACATACACTTATGATTGTTTAGGTCAGGCATGAATTTAACCAATTTTTTAATTTGTTTTCTGTTTCAAAGGTCGAATTTGACTGCAAGATGTGCTGAAGTGGGCTGAAGTCATCACCATATGGTATTACTCCAAATTAAGCTGTTGGGTCTTTGTATATGGCTTTTAGTTGATTCAAATGGTGCCAAATTCTTTAGCTTCTGTATGTGGATTCATTACCCAATTCAACATAGCTATGCAATGCTTTTAGTTAAGTAGAGAATAAGTTAAAAGTAAATTTAATAGTTATGCTATTTGAGGATTGTGTGATGCAATTCTAGCCCCAATTCTGTATATTCCTATTGGAATCTACATATGACATCTAGCATTTTTTTTCCACTACTTTCCTTTTACTTTCTACACTTCAGTAGCCTTTTAAAGCCCACAGCCAGACGTGATCGCCCTTTTGCTTTACCTTTAAAATATCAATGGACATGCCTAGTCCATCTTTCCTTTAGTCCTACTGCAATCCACATAAAAGTAGCCAAAATCAGCAAAGGGTACAGCTCATGGTACTGTTCAAAGCACCAAGAACAGCCCTCAATTCTCGTTCATCCTTCTTTAACAAGACCCAAACTTTAATTCCTTCTATATAATATTATAATCCTTAAAAAGCTCAAAATTTTACAAGCATCTAACCATAAAATCAGCACATAATACCACTTCTGCCACTGCCCAATATCACCTTGGGAATTAAAGCTTGTGAGACTGTCCCATCTGCACTCATCATAAATCACCATGGAAGTGAGAGAACCAAAAAAAAAAAGAACCTCAATACAGAGCATATTGAGTTCAGATTATATTTTCATTAGCTTACCCATTTATATATATAGCTTCATGACACTGTAAAGATCTACAGAAGCAGTCCAGGTAGCTAAGGCAAATAAAATATATCCAACCTATTTTACATGGACTTTCAGTTTTGGTGAAGTACCCATGTTAACATGACAGGACATAGGTATAGGATACAAATCCGATCCTTCTATTTCGAAACAGATACTACTTAGTTTTTTTTTTTTTTTTTTTATTTTTATTTTAATTTTTTGTGAAATCATTGTATTTTGTATTTTGCATTGCTAATAAATAAAATTATAGTAAAATCATTGTATCTAATATGATATATCAAGAATAAATTTTACTTTGCATATATAAATTTATTTATTTTTCCAATTAGAGGACATATCCCCCGTACCTGTATCTAATTTTTAGATCCTTTTTCACAGAAGGTTTTAGGATGCTAGAGTCGTGCCGGCTGTTGTTGCAATACCATAAACATTTCCATCAACACAGCAGTAAATTTTCACTTTAATTTTCGGCCACAAATTTTCAAACTTCTCACCATAAATGTCTATAAATCTCATTCCATATGTATACTTACAGCAGGCAAGAATACAAACATGTATTCAACCAATCAATTATCAACATCACTATGGATTCAATGTAGTTATAAAGTAGTATTGAAACCAAACATATTGTAAAGGTTGTGAACCACTATATGAAACTATAAGATAAAGAAAACTGTTTGCAGAAACTTTGTTAAGCTTTTGAGTGAGAAAAACAACCTGCTTCGCATACAGAGAGAGCAACAAGTTGTGAACTCCAGGATCCTCATTTTGCAAACGGTGAACGCAAAACTCCAGATATTTTATTACTTCATGGGTTTCATTCCTGTTTTATGGTATATGGTAACAAGAAAACTGATCACCATGACTTCTAACAGAATGAAAGACACGTAAAATGTATAATCCAATCAACAAAAAGGAAATAGATCCGATACAGATCCTACCAACTTATTAGCAGAAGGTATACATCAATCATAAGTCCTGCCTGATGATGTAAATGATGTAGCTGCCCTTGGGACATAAATATTAGTGTTTTATTGTGACTTTTGCAAATATTTCATTCTCTTCTATTCGTTCATACTATATATATATATACATGCATATAAGAAAGAGGAAAAACAGGTAATTTAATAGAGTAAATGGTTCCAACATGTTTAAATCATAGCACAGATTACATCCAAACATTAATGTAACAAATGAACTCACTGGAAATTAAAATTGGTTATGCTAGGTTTGGTGCCCTACATGTTTGGGGGAACAAACAAGTATCTTGCACTGACTGAACCCCACTTTCTGGACCACAATAGCAAATTATGTTCTGCATATATCCTTGAAAAGTACCACAATTGTAGAAAACAAGAAATAAAATCCTTAAAAAATCTAGTTTTTACCAAACGACCAACAATAGAAACTATCATCACAGCAGCAGATCAACTGTGCTGAATCCATGGGACAAGAAACCAAATGCATGGCAAAATGGTTTGAAACTTTAACTGCCAGTAATTGCAGCACAACATATTGCATGTGCAACTGCATTTAGACTAACCATTGAAATAAACTAAGTATGATATTATTCAACAATCAAATGATCATATCCACCTTTAACTAAATTCCCTAAATAGCTGGAGTATTGTAATGATTAAAGAAGCACTTATGCTTTCAGTCTGATTTATAAAAAAACAACAATCTTTTGCCATAATTTCAAACTGGGGAGAACTTTACTTTGCATGAGGTTCACTTGAATAACGCATCATTGCAGGAATTAACTTCCTTGGGTTCAGGTTTTTTGTTGTCATCCATGACTCCACAGTTTCATATGCATCAAGCATGATGAGGTCTGGAGCAAACTTGTACTGCATGGCAAACACAATTTGTTAACTTTTTCAACAATATAATGGTTTAACAGATTGTAGATGAGCAGCTGTTTGCCTGTTGCAATATCATGTACACAAATAGCAGCTTTGGCAGTAAATGAAATAATAATAATAATAAAAGATGGCAAGTGAAGCTGTGGTCAGTCATTATTATACAAAATAAATAAATAGACAAAATTGCCCAACCTTGACTCAAATAATCGAGATTAGCCCTTACCTGAAGATCTATGGGCACAGCAGGTTTCTGAAGCACTTCCAATGCTTTCTTCGCTTCTCCTTGCTAAGCTCAGTACAAGAAAAAGGGGGTAACAAAATGGAAGCTCAAATTAATAAAAAGAAGCAAATGGAGATTTTTGTGAAATTAGTAAACGAACTGTGTAAAAGCCATATGAATCATTTCCCATTTACTTTTGTCATTTTGACCAAAAATTTAATATTAAAACAAGGTTATCTCCATATCATATGAATTTATGATAGCAAGAATTGAGTTTCACCTAGAGCATGTCATTTTTGAATCACATGGAAAGTGGGGTTAACTTGGGGTAAAGTATGAAATTGGAACACACTTGAATTGAATTAGACATGGTTTCTCAAAAGTTACAATTTTATAAGAGCTTTTACAAAATTCATCGCCTTATTTTGTGTGTGTGGCTTTTGAAGGCTCTTGAAAACCAAACTTATTAATATGTTAGGCTTGTACGTAAAACTAGGGGTAAAATGGTAATTTGAACCACGGGGTAAAATGGTAAATTTAGACTTGAGGGTTTTTCGTAATTATGTACACGGTAAAGTAGTTGAATGCATATAATTGGGCAGTTGGTGGGTATGTGAAATTTCACCGTGTTAAGGAACTTTAATTTTGAGTATGGACCTTACAAAAATTATAATGTTGATTTGAGAAATTCAATTTTGATTATGAATCTTACTAAAATGTTAATTCTTGAGTATGGACCTCACCAAAATATATGAACACACATTATGACATACTCCCAAATAAAAAGAAAATGGAATACCAAAGCACCTGGATATAATGATGAACCACAATCTCATATTGCTCCTTGAGACTCGCAAAATATACCAACTCATCAACTCTCCCATAACTGCTATAAATTGGAAAACAAAATAACTTTAAAAAAGATTAAAGTAAAACCATTTTAGAATACTCTAACAGAAGAATATTGAGAAACAGTTACACATTTAAGTAATAAGCACTAGTCTTATACAATCACAATAATGCATCATAGACAGCAAGTCTTAGGAAACAATGATTAAAATGGTGGAGACAAGAACTACAACATAATGCAAAATTCCACATGTATGTCTTACATGTAATTAGCTCAATAGGCAATAGACATCCCAAGTAAAAAGGTTGGAAGCAATTATCATCTAATTAAAAATAACTCCATCTATGTCAACTAAAAAAATAAGATCAAAAAGGGATAAATGAAAAGCATCATTCCAACTAGTTCAAAAATTTATTACTCGCGAAAGTAGGAAAACAAAATTGGGAAGTGAAGCATGCCAAAGTCCAATTGCAAAAAACATTTTTCATCCATAAATTTCAAATGTCAAAAGAAAGTTTTCTTCTTCGTAATGGATAGTGGAACCATACTAATGAAACAATGAAGAAAAGCATGACATTCAAATTTATGAATCCCAATTAACAAGGAAGATTCCTATTCATGGATAAATTAACTAAACACATTCAGGATGATGTCCCATAGTAAATGAAATTAAGGAATTAACACTAAATTAGAAATATGAAGAGAAGATAATGGTGCAGCCCGTAATTGGATAGAAAATAATTATCCACTTTGTAAGCCTCAGGTGAAGCCCACAAGCCCATTGCATGGAAAGAAGACATTTTGGTCCAACAAATGATCACATTCGTGAAATGATAGTAGCAGCACCGGTTAAAGATAAATTAAAAACAAACACATTAAGATGGTTCGGTCATGTATAATAAGATGGTTTGACCAGTAGATGCACTGATAAGAAAGAATGATATAATCATTGTAAACACATAGCCGACCCCAATTAACTGGGAGAGAAGGCTTTGGTTTTATTTGGTTTAGTTCATTGTATAGATGTGGGTTGTGCCAAGGTTACATACCCTAGCATTTTGTGCCTATGGTATTGTGTTGTACACATCAGTTTTTGTTTTATATCAGTGGTACATTTTATCTTTGTTCAGTTTAATTATAGTTTAATGATAAATTAAAGATAACAGGTGTTTGTCATGTCAAGTTATAGGGAAGGTGCTATCAAACCTCCAGCGATGGGACCTGACATGATATCTCAACATTACAAAATAAAATTTACCTTTCTAAGAGGTTCATTGTAGTCGCCTCATCCAATACATCCTTGCAGTCACTAAGAAAAGCTCTGAACTCTTTAATGATTGAGTGGTACTCTGAACTACGATTCTCCAAAGCAGTGTCATCTTCAAGGAGAAGTCGATTGATCTAAAATAAAAATGTACAAACTAAAGTTATATTAAAATGGCCAATTGTCATGTAGCTCTGAAGCATGGGTACTCCAAAAATGGTGTTGTACGAGTACCGGGTGCAGGTACGTGTATCGGTACGACAATACTCGTACTGGGTACGGCGAATACATGCTAGGTACAGCAAATACATCTGGGTCCGGCAAGGTGTTTTTTTTTTTTTTTTTTTTTTTTTTTTTTTTTTTTTTTTTCGTAACTTTTATATCCCGCAACCGTAACTACGCCACCGTAACTGTTACGACGACCGCAACCGCTTTTCGAAACCTTACCCATAAGTCATAATTTTGCTCTCTTTTGCATCATTTTTATATAATTACAAAAGAAAAAGAAAGAATTATATAATTTTTTAGACAAGTTCTCTTTTTAGTTTTGATATTGAAACTTTGATTTATATGTTGGATGTTTAGCTATAAATTAAATATAAAAAAATAAAAATAAAACAATTGGCGTACCCCACCCGTATCCGTAACTTATTTTTTTTAAGAATTTGCCGTATCGGCATACCAGTATTGTACCTATACCCGCACCCGTGCTTCATAGTCATGTAGTTTATGATAAACGTGTTAAAAACACTCCAATAGATGTACAACTCGAGCACAATAATCACCAAAATTATTGCAACCACTGGCTTTGGTACACCGATGTGAGAAGAAGTCTTGTAGTGTAAGACATCAAATTAAAACAACGCAGCAGAATAATAAGATAGATAAGTTATCTCGTAAGCAAAACCTTGTCCAGGTATAATTCAGTTGCCCATGTAGAAATCATAGTTATTTGGCATTTATCATCTTTTGAGAGATTATCAAGCTTCCGCAATAAGAAAGTTCTCAAAGCATCCTGCAAGGAAGTAAATATATATATATAAATTCAAAAACCACAAACCATATGAGCACATGGGTGCATAACTATTTTAAAGTAAAAAATAAAGATAATCATGTTGACTTCAAAGTCTTTAATTGATAATAAAAAGAAGTTTCGCTTAAACCATAACACTATCAACCTGAACTTCAGGTAAGCAATGAAACAATTGACACTCCACATGTCGCCTCCTTTACCATGTTCGACACTGTAATGTGCATGATAGTCAGACATGGATCTACATGGTAAAAGTTAGATATGGTAGTTGCAGCTATTTGAGGTCGCCACATCAGACTTTTGCAAACATACGAGTCACTAACATCCACGATTATGAGTCACTACATAATGACGCAATTTAAAAAGGCCAAACCAGCTAATTAACAAGAAGTATAGACTTGGCTTTTTCAACCATATATGTGGCTATCCAAAAGGGAGCAACACTAGTCTAGTAAAGGCCGGGCTAACCAACAAATATAATTATCACACTTGATTTGTTCGAGGAAAAGTATAGATGTGAACAAGGAGGAACAGCTATTGTGAAAAGAAATAGACAACACTATTTACGTATGTATATATATTCAACAAACTTAACATAGTGTAGATCAAAACCTTACCTGAACAGGAACTTAGGGTTCGTTTGGAAGGTGGCTTTTTGGCTAAAATATAAGGTGAAAGTAAAGAAAGTGTTTGGGAATGACTTTTTGGCTTTTTACAAAAAAAAAAGAGCAAAAAGTAAAGAGAAGGAAAGGAATCTTTGACCTTTTTCATATGGCTTTTTGGCTAATTCAGCCAATTGCCAAACGAGGCCTAACGTGGATTATGTATCAATATTGCAGTGGTTACAAATATATCAACAGCTCAAACAGAAAAACAATATTCCATGATGTACATTCTTTGCACATTACATAGAAAAATAAATACTCTTCAGACGTGATCTTAGCAGATAATAAACACTTGAAGAGGCTATAGGATGACAGAAGTGAAAAGACTCCACAAATTAAACTCAAGTAGCTATGCAACAAAATCACATGAAACTCATGGGCTCCTAATTTAGTGACACATTTGTTGAACTCAACTGAAAGCTTTAGATGTTAGAAAGGGGTCATTTTATTATATAATATATATGTATGACTGGACTCTCCTCCGTAAAGATGCCAAACTCACCTAAGTATTATATTTATTTGGTAGACAATGAAGTTTGAATACAATATCTATTGTATGCTCTGTGATACCATGTTGAATTGTTGACCACCAAATCATCTGAAAACCTAAGTTGTTAGAGAGAGAGAGAGAGAGAGAGAGAGAGAGAGAAGGGGGGGATTTTATTATTTATATCCTCAATAGTAGTATAAATAAATTCAAACAATAGTTTTAATACAGATTTGTAGTTCATCAAGTATGTAATTGCAACAAAATTTAAAAGCCTTTGGCATGTCTATTTTTAGTCATAGTTAAATATATGCATTATGCACATAATTCTCAAAAGATGCTTACCCGGAGCATAAATTGAAGTAAAGCACCACATATAAAAAGGTCAAGAAGATTAATCAAAAGATTTTAGTTGAGAACAAAATAATCTCATACACAGAATAACAAAATATTTAATAATTTTTACTTCTAAGCGCAGTATTGTTTTTTTATAACTAAATTTTATTTAAAGGTGGCACCAAGAGTGCCGCAACCTCTGTATACAGGATGTATACAAAGAAAGCCTAAAACCCATAACTAAAACAGAGCTCTCATATACTAAGCACAGTATTATCACTGAAAACAAGATGCACCTAAAACTATACATGCAGCTGCCTATCAATTGTTCGTATGAACCTGTAATAACACATCTCTAGAAGGGTGAAATCAGAGGGTAACATAACTTACCTGTTCATTTACGCTAATAAACTTCAAAGTGATCTCTTCAAATGATAATATGTAATAAATCTGCAAAATACATTCACTTTAGTTAAAAAACTAGTCATCCTCCATTACATGAACAATATTACTCACTCAGATATTTACTTCGAATATGTATGATAGTGACTTTCCAATGTGTATTTAAGTTCAAAAAGAAATACGTGCAATAAGAAAATCCTTAAATATACAAGCATACTAAAACCAAAACAAAATGGTAATTCACCTTTGCATAGAAAGATGCTGCCCTGAGGAAATCCTTGGCAGAAAATGCAGCTTCAGCCTGCATCATAAATAGGTCAGTGATGAACTAAAATAAATTCAAGTTGCATACGATTGTATGAGGCCATAATCTAACCAACAAAGTCAATAAGCCCAGACCTGTGCTAGATATACTTGATCTCTCTGGAATGGATCCCGACAATTTGCCAAAGCTGCCGCATACTCCTTCAAGTCCAGGTACACCTTCCACATATCTCGGCCTTCATCATTTACAGACACCTGCTTTACAATCTCAAATTCATCATATGGAAATTTATTGGCACAAGATACGGCTGCTACTATTTAAACATCCTGGTCATTGCATGTAGTATACAAAATTAGGCAAGAAGTTAAACATCCTACACCATGTAGGGGGCCATTTAGCTGTTTCATTTTGTTGATCTGTGTATATCACTTGTTGTAGGGTATGCCCTAAATGACCCTCTTGCATATGCCTTTTAAGAATTTTCTTACCTTGGACACTGACAGCACGTAGTGCACAGTTATATCACAAAACAATGAAATCATCCCAGCATACACACCTGAAAAATGGAGTTCTGGTCATATGCATAGAACAATCCAGCAGAGGCATCACTGCATAATCCAATAATACCCCTTGACATTGATTCTGGTGTTTCATCAAACTGAAGTTCCTCTATGATCTGTTCACTGATTCTATTTACAACCTAAAACACATAACAAAAACACAGCAACCATCTCTATAATGTTAGTGAGCAGGGGAACTGATGAACAACTATTGAAGTCAGTTCCCAACTTGTCCATCATCGTGGACAAAGAAAATGGAACGCTCTCTAGGATCCAGCTGCTAAAACTTTATTACCAGCAAATAATGAAGTTCATATTTACAAAATTGACAAGAAAATTCAAAATCATGTATTTGTAATTAAATATATCTGTGCGTGCGCTGCACAGAAAGACGTACCTTAACCTTGTTTCCTAGGAGAAGCAGAAAATGAAATTCAGACACTGCCAGAGAATTGGGTTTAATAGCTTCAGCAACATCAACTAATTTTGAATAGTCCAAAAGACCCTTGTTCTCCACAAAATTGTCATTTCCTTCTGGTGAACTGCCCAAGAGGTTTCCCAAAAGATTTAATAAGAAAAATGCTTCATAAGAGAACTATACTATTACCACATAAAGAATCAATACACTACAAGACCGAGGATGGACATAAAATGAACATTTTTCAAGAGTGAACCAAAGAAGTAGAGCCTAATAAACAATAAATTCCAGAATTTATGCCTATTGTTCTGTTCACAAAAGGAAGCAAAAGTGATGAGACTTGAGAGTCATCTCCTACCTATGCTGTGCTCCAAAATTTAGGCCACCATGATGGATACCGGTTCGAGAAAGCCATGTGAAATGTACAGCTCTTCTTTGCTTGATAAAGAAATGCAGTTCACTGCAAGATAGGCAAAAATGAACTTCATTTTCAAAATACGAGAATATGATTATGAGAACAATATATCAGAATATGATTATGATTATGAACTTCATTTTCATTTATCTACTAATATACTTATTTTTGTTCTTTTTCTGGTCTCTCTCCCCTTTTCTGCTGGGTTTAGAAACCCTGCAGCTTATCAGTTTTGAAAGTCTCCTTTATCTCAGTGGCATAGTTTATAATGCATCGACAATCCTTTGCAAATCCATATCATCATTTTCAAAAACTTGTCTTGCTTCTAAGCTTCTTACATGCCAGAATATAATCACAAACAGGGTATTCCAGGGGATGTTAAATGCACTGCTTCTTTGGAACACCCCCAAAAAACTGCTATTATCTTGAAGGTTTTGAGTAAGCTTCTGGACCAGGGGTTTGGTCATTTCATTTATAGGCTTGTTGAAGTGAACCCTAATTTCAAGGGCTTTAGGACATTCCCTGCTGTGTAGAGGGGACTTGCTTTTCACTTGTTACCTGCATTTAGGATAAGGTATCATCAGTCTTCTTTCCTGCCAACTCTCATCTGGTTAGTTACCAGTCTACCAGTCTACCATGTTGAGTTCTGAATAAGATATACTTCATTCCATGGCTTGGGTATGTCCAGAGAGGGCACGTTCCCCCAACCCATGGAATGATCTAAAAGTCTGCAGATTATTTAACTTCATTTCATCTCTTTGTTTCAGCATCTCTGTATATATGTTTTTATTTATATTTTTTTTAGTACGTCTGTATTATGTTTGTGATCAATATAAATCAATCAATAATACATCAATTTTAACATGGTATCAGAGCAGGTTTAGAACCTACTATTTTCGCTTCCCGGCGGGCGGCAACCTCATCTTAGCTGCCCGCCGGACCTCAACCTAGTCCGCTAGTATTTTCTACACATACCTTTCCATCATTGTCCAAATCTCCTCCTCTTCCTCCGTGCTCCTGGATCAAATCAGAGGATTTACTTCTGATTCGCTGGCTCCCACACATGACATGGGCATACTCTCAGACCTTCCAGCTCCTGTGGCAGCTGTCAAGAATCCCAGCTCCAAAATTTTGTATGATGAGCACAATCTTGAGCGTTATCCTCCTGGCGACCCAAGCAAGCGTGCATTCGCATACTTCGTCTTGACTGGTGGCAGGTTTGTGTATGCTTCCTTGATCCGTCTCCTGGTACTCAAGTTTGTTTTGAGCATGTCTGCAAGTAAAGATGTTCTTGCCCTTGCCTCCCTTGAGGTAGACCTCTCCAGCCTCCTCTCTTTGGTACACAAACAAACACCCTAAACATAATTCTCTAGGCATCTTCATTCTCTGTTCTTCAATCTTTGATCTTCTCTGATTTGTGAGACATCATCAATGGCCGACAAAGTGATTCTCTTGGTGTTAAGTAAAGATGTTTTTTTTATTCTCTCTTTTCTTTATCTTTTTTTATTCTTATTCTTATTATTAAACCAAAACCAACACAACACAACACCACGTTTCCCCTTACTTTACCAACCCATGTGCACTTTCCTTTTTTTTTGTTTTTTTTTTCTTTTATTCTACTTTTTGACCCATCATTCCACCACCTTCCTCTTTTTTTTTTTCTAAACCATATTTTTGTACCACCGCCCACTCCATGATATCCATTTTTTATTATTCTTATTATTATTAAAAAAAAAAAAAAAAAAACCAAAAACCAAAACAAAACACAAACAACAAATACCAAACCCCATTGCAACCAATTTCCAAATTTGCACAACCAACCATATTTTATTCATGTCGGGGTTCACCCCGATCACCATTTTACACCACAAAAAAAAAAAAAAAAAAAAACAACAATACCACACCCACAGTGGGATTTTTCTTCTCTACTCTGCCGCCGGTCTCTTTTTCTTGCCTCCGTCCTGAGCGGCCCTTAACGGTGTTGCCTCCGTTTTCCACGCCGCCAAGCACGTTCACTCCCCCATACTCCTCCACTGCAGCATATGGCGGACCTCCAAATCGGAACATCACGTTGGTCTTCCGCTTCAGCTCCTTGTTTTCCGCTTTCAGCACACTTATCTCTGCTCGCGCATCCTTATACATGCGTTGGAGCAGAGCCAGCTGGGAGTTTAACTGTTGCACCTCATTTGTCCTGCTCTGCAGCCGGTGCGACAAGTTTGTGACCGCAGTCATGGTTTCCACACATGACTTCAGAGTATACTGATTGGCCTCAATATCAGTTTGCACCGCCATTTTATGCTCCACCGACCGCATCGGAAAGTTCAACGGAGCAAAACCAGAGGTGTTTGGTTGAGGTTCACTGACCACCGCACCAGTTTTCTCTCTTGTTGACTCATTGAGGTCGGGAAAGAGAGTGAGTAGACCACGGGATGAAGAGGCCGTTCTGGGTAGCTGGACGGGAAGAAGAGGCCATGTTGCTGAGTGTTTCAGAGACGGGTTGGTTACAGAGTATTACAGAGTTTCTCTCTCAGAGCAAAGGAAGAGTTTTTTCAGAGGATTTTCAGAAGTTTTTTGTCTGCCTCAGCCTCAGCATCAAATAGCCAAGGCAGACACGCGCATCATGCGCCGCTCGGCGCTCGACGACAACATGGGCGCGCCTTTTGATGGCACGCCTTTTGATGGCATGGGCACACCTTTTGAGGGTGCGACTTTTTAGGGGTCCGACAAGACTCTGTAAACTGTCCCGACATAGATTCCGGTTAGTTTCTACAAGGGCCCGACAAGACTCTGTAAACTGTCCCGACATAGATTCCGGTTAGTTTCTACAAGGGCCCGACAAGACTCTGTAAACTGTCCCGACATAGATTCCGGTTAGTTTCTACAAGGGCCCGACAAGACTCTGTAAACTGTCCCGACATAGATTCCGGTTAGTTTCTACAAGGGCCCGACAAGACTCTGTAAACTGTCCCGACATAGATTCCGGTTAGTTTCTACAAGGGCCCGACAAGACTCTGTAAACTGTCCCGACTTCACCTACTACACACCTACCACTACCACCTACTACACACTCACCTACTCTCCACCTACTCCTCACCTACTCACACTCACCCTCTTCTATGTATAGGAATCATGAATCATTGTAATAAATATCAATATATCAATCAATAATAAGATCATCAGATACATTTATTCTCTCTGTATTGTTCTCTTTATACATTGATTTTCTACAAGCTACATGTAGTTCAACAAACTAGAGGCTCCATGCAATGTCTGGCAGCCAACAGTGCAGTGAGCTTTTTGTCAAAACTCAAAAATATCTTATTAGTTCATAAATATTTGTAGATTTTAAACATCTGTATTTTGTACTCAATGCATACTACCAATTTTCATGCATGCGTATGAACCTAAGAAGCATGGACACGGACACGTGACACGACACGGATACGACACAGACACACAGACACGTTAATTTTCAAAACATAAAGGACACGACACGTGGGAGACACGCGTGAAATATGTAATTTTATATATTTATTATATGTTATATATATTAATATATCATTCAAAGATAATACAAAATACAATATGATACTAATTTCTACAAATTTATATGATTTTTGTTTTATTATTGTATCTTAAGTTATTTTGTTTAAACTTATAATTAGTTTCATATGTGTCCAATCGATAGATACGTGTGTTTATGTGATTGACATGTGTGTCTTTCAAGTGTCCAAAGAGTGTCCGGGTCTTTAAAAAAATTTAAAAATTAGGACACATTTTGAAGAGTGTCGGACACGTGTCCTAAGAGTGTCCAAAGAGTGTCGGTGTCCGACACGGACATGACACGAATACGTCACCTTCTTAGAAGTGTCCGTGCTTCTTAGGTATGAACATATGGGATAGTAGTTGTCAATGTACCTAATCTTAACATTTTTCTTGTTTCAAAAATGTATTATCTAGTTCTACAAGTTCCATGTGTCATAAATCTTCACTCCTTACGTTTCCAATAGCATGAACATTTATGTGTGACAATTATGCCAAATGGATTACTTCTCATCAAGCTCCAAATGAAAAGACGAACTAGATTAATTTACAGTTCTCAATGTGTACAGTATATGTTTCATATCATTATCCAAGGCACTGCTGCCATTAACTAATTTTATTTATGTACTTTTTAGTAGCGTTTAAAACATGAACAAGCACAATGAGTTCATGGCAAAATAGGTGAAATGTAAATCCAAAGAAAATACAACAACAATAAAAGAAGCATCTAAAATTTATTATCTGTGTCCCAATAAATTGAATTTCATTATATCAAAAGCACTTGCCTATTTGGTATTTCACCAGGAAGTTCCATAAAACGCACTGGACGATCAACATAACTAGCAAAAACAGTCTAGAAAATGCATTAAAATCAATAAGCATGAAATTTCAAATAAAATGTATTAATCACAAAGAGCTATAAGACAAATAAAACATCATCTACAAAATAGGGACAAATGCAGGGAAGGATGCATTCCCGAGAACCACGAATATAACCACCTACATAGGTGAGCTACTGCAAATTATGAGTTTAAAGCAACAATTAATTAGATTACTTAATGCAGCCTTACAGACCTGATAGATGGAGAAATGGATGGTTGGGAAGTGAGCTTAAAAAATCCAAAGAGAATATATTAGTGTACCTCCCTATCAACTCTAAGCCTAACTGGGATGGGAGATTAAAGAACCTCAGAGCAAACACTTCACTACTTTCTATAAGTGAAATAGACACTTGACCTTCTGATTGCAAATTAGAGAAACATTGTTGAGGTATCAGGGCAAGATCTCATATAGACAAGCACCTAAGAGGAAGAGGGCTACGGGGTTTGGAAGCCTTGGTCAAGCCAAAGCCCCTTGATCCGCAGTCTCAACTACTTTGCCACTAATTTTCAATTCTTAACATATAAAATAAGATCACAGAAACAGGATTTCTCTTTGTGAAGTTCGAAGACTCCCAATATTTAATATGTGGTCCAAGGGGGAATAACCTTGCATAATCATTTATAAAGCAATAAAAGGTTGAAGGTTGACAAAAATATAAACCCTAAAAGGTTGAGCATAATCATAATCATTTCTTAGCATTTATAGAGCACTAGTTGAAGGTTGTCAAAAATATAACCTCCAAGAAAAATGTTAAAGAAAATAGAAAAGTTCTAATAAATCTATGCAGTGGTAAGAGAGAAAAATATATATTATTTGGCTCAATTAGAAATTGCTTCTCACATTGATGTAGGACACATAAATAAACAACATACACTGCAAAAGGTTTAGAATGGCCAAACCTAAGGAACGCAGGCAAAAGATCTAAGCTAATGAAATAGTATCAACACTAGGTCAAGAAGAAAGGAATTGATAAGGTCAATTTCTTGTTAACATGCATTATTCAAAGAAGACACTCGTGAGTTACTAATATGGGCTACCGAGTGCACCATCCAGCAGGCTTAAGAACATAAAAAACTGTGAACCAACTATACAGAGCTCTTAAATTCAACATCATGACATTCAGCACTAACTAAACCACCGGGAGTCCATACAAAGGCCAAATTCTATGGTAAAGAAGGCTGTAATAAATTAATAATAATCGGGCCATGAGAGACTTTATGAAGTAACTTTAATTGCAGATATAAAAGGCCCCAGAAGAAATTTATAAGTATTGCAGATTTGACAGGCCCCTGCAGGAATACACGGACTTAATTAAACTCACATCCAGCGACCCAATGCCACTGAAAGAATAAAGCCGCGTAGGAGTAACGGCCATCATGTAATATTTAGTTCCATTGCTTGTGCTAGCTGTCTCCATCTGCAAAAAAATAAAATAAAATAAAGACAAAGGTAAGAAAAAGACATTATAGGCAAAACCCAAGTAAAACTCTAGCTAAGCCAGAGAGGGTAAAATAGTTAGTGAAGGTTAGTTTCTCAACAGCCACTTCACTAATCCAGTGATCATCCACATGCATGCTTATTTTTTCAAATGACCAATTCCAACAATTAGAAAATTTAACATTTTGTAGGAGCATTAAAATACTCAAAGAAATCCATATATCTGATGGAGAAACACCATATATAAACTGTATGGCTTTTAGCACCAACCATGTACATACTAAATCTTTAAGCAATTTTAAATATTGCTAAAAGTAAGCAAGCCTCCCCTAATACAGAGGAAATCCCCAAGTGGCAGATTGGTATGTATCCCCAACGGAAAAGGATCAGAAGAGGTGAAATGAAGGGGAGGACCTGCAAACCCATGAATGCTTCTGGAAGTTCTTTAAGTTCAAATAGAAAATTTACGTGCTTCTCCTTCTTATCCTTCTCATCTACAGCAATTTCATGGAGTTGTCCATTATCTGTACCAAGAATGACTTCTCTTGTAGAAGCTGCAAAGACATTAGATACAACAGAAGAAATAAATTAATATGAAAAAATCCCTCTTCTGACATATTAGTTGGTGTATTAAACAGAGGGATGGCTGAGAAACCAAACACAAACCTTCTGTTATCTGTTGCCTATTCCAAGCAACAGCATTCACGACAAGACCGTTCAGTTTGCTTAAAACACGTGGCCTAGTCCACTTAGCATGTGTATAAAATGTATCTGCACCTCCACCGCCAACAATGGTAGCAATACAGTGGCACCCCCCAGGATCAACAAAAACTCTATGGATAGATTGCTCCCCAGCTCGACCCGTAGAGAGATCAATATCTATGAGTGAAATGATCAAGAAAATATAAGTTAAGTGTTGGATGCAGCCCAAGGTCCAGATCCCAACAGTTGCACAAAGTGACCACATAAATTGCAATGTTGCATGTGATTATCGCAATCCCAACATGTAATGACAATAAAATCAAGAGGAATCAACAAATGGTATGTATTATAGAATAAGATATATCAAAGAAATATAGGGCATAACTTGCCACCTCAAAAATCATCACTAGTTTTACCCTGTTAACAGGAATGAAACAATGGCGCAAAGAGTTCCATTTACAAATATTATCCCTAAAATTGAACCGCACTGAATCCATCAGTGTGGCAGCATCCCATTTCCATCTATGAAAATTTTGGTTAAGTAAATAGTACTAGCTGAACTTGGGAGAAGACATGATACTCCAATTTCCAGCATAGCATGTCATGGTTGATTGTTAACCTAAGAGTTACATTGGCAAATTGGATCTGTAATTTATAATATGACAACTGTGAGCATAAGGTCGAAGTTATATACAATCATAGATATCACATCTCATTTTTAACAGGTCCCATCTCTAATGATTTTTACAGTTGAATCACAAAAGAGAGTTAATAAGGAAGAATCCAATCAAGTAAATGATAAGAGCATACCATAAGAATCTCCAACTCCGAAATCATGTCTAATGATCCACCCTTTACTAGTTCCTAATACAATAACATCATTGCCAGCAGCCATGCATGTGATAACTCCATGCCCCTTCGCTGCATATCTCTCCAGAAGATCCACAGAAAAAACCTGCCTTCCTGTTTCCATCTTTAGAACCAAAAACTTCAACCTAACAAGTGGTAACAACTTTTTCACTTGGAACCAGAATATTCTAAAAAATCAAAATAATGGAAAAAGTACAAGACACTTTAAAAAAGTGAGTCACAAAGAAAAAAAACTCCAACAAATGGAATGAGTTACCAAATTTATTCACTTCCTCTATAATCTCTCATTATACTCCCAATGAGAAAGACACAAGTCCATAAAGAAGCGGAATACCTTAATGCTCTATTCGGTTTATTGAAATAAGATGGACTAGAGGGGAATGGCCATTCCTTAGGCTCCCCTATGGATTGATCATTCCCTTACAATAATGAATGACAATTTCATTTGCAATGCATTTTTCATTATTTTTTTCGTCAACCAAACATGGGAATGGACATTTTGATGGAATGAACAATCCATTCCAATGAACCAAACACTACCTAAGGCCTTGTTGGTTTGTGGTATAACTCACATAAGTATAAGTAATACGACCTCCCCCATGGTATTACTTGAACAAGACCATGAGATTATATCAATCCCCAATCCAATGGTCATAAATAATCTTTCCATCTTATCCCACCATTTATCCCACCCTAACCAAACATAATACAACTAATCCTATGGTGCATATAATCCATGGCATTACTTATCCCCACTAATCCCAACCACAATCCATGGCATCCAATCCCCTCCTAAATTAATCGGCAATCAAACATGGCCCAAATTCAACAAGTAGAAATCAAAATACTCCCTTTGTACACTTTTTATGTGTCCCAATTTCCATTTTTGGAAGTCCCATTTTGTGTTCTAGTTTGAAAAGTCAAAAGTTTTGACCGTTACTTACCTTAATACTCTTCATTAATTTATATGTTAAAACTGACCGTAGATATGCTTATCACAGAAGAAAAAAGAAGTTCAGAAGCGATTGAGAACAAGAATCACAAGAATCATGGCTTGTAATGTAGACGTTGAAACCGGCCTACCTGATTGAAAAATGTACTCATTTATGATAGTTTTAGAAAGAGAAGGGATACTAAAGAAGGTGGTGAGATGAGATCTGAATAGTAAATACAGTTATAGACAAGGGAAGTTATTGGCAAACAAAGCCTTGTTTATAATCCAATGGAGCCATTTTCTTATACTTGTTGTAAGTTGTAAACACAATTATAAACAAGGGAAGTTCTTGGCAAACAGAGCCTTATTTATGGTCCAATGTAGCCATTTTCTTATACTTGTTGTAAGTTGTAAACAATGCCATATTACATCACAAGTAACAAGATAGATTTATATTTTATACACATAATATGAATGAAAACGCATTGTGTATGCAAAATCAAGGACACAAGGCAACCACCGAGATTTCTTGTCTTCTTTATTTCTTGATAAAGATTGAACTAGGAGTTAAAAATCATGAACACACATTTGATAAATGGATATTTTCATCGGTGTATGACAGAAGTAATTAAAGTTTTATGACGACGGGCTCCCAAAAACCTCAAGAAAAAATTGGGCTATAAATTGAAAATATTCAAAACAGGACATTTTTTATATCTATCATTCAAGGATGTTTTCTTAAAGTTTGTGCAAAGCCAACTAAGACATAAAATGGGATAAAGGAAGTAATATCTCTACACCCACTGAAAGGGAGAGGAAGATATAAAAAGAAAAGCAAAAACATAAAAGGGAAAATGCAAAATAAATTTTTGTTGCTTATTGGGGAAAAAAATACAAAACAAAAAAGGGAAAGGAAAAAATCAAAATCTTGTCACTTCTTTTTTATAGATAAGTAGCCACACATTCAAACATATCAGGGAGATCTTGGGTTTGGATATCGAAATTGCTGAAGTCCCTAATGAGATAAATGACTCAAACCATATTGTTTTCATTCTTTATATGTTTGCTAATTATGTATAAGAGACCCTCTAGAAAACTTGCTTTCTATTATTCCTTTTCAAGGCACCAGAAATAAATTACAAGAGATTCTACTCTAGGCACTGAAAATAAATTACAATAGATTCTACAAGCTAGTACAATTGAGTATCAATCCCAGTTCAATCCTTGCCATTCAAGTATTGCATAGCGTCTAATACATTAAAGGGTAGTCTAAAGTGGACAACAACAATTGAGTACCATGCATATTGAACAGCATAAGAATCTAATACAATACCAAAGACCTCCAAATAAAGCAACCACACTCGAATGAAAGCAATGCTTGTTCCAAATTGGTTGCTCAAAATTTGGTCTTTAGTTGACTCAATTCTAACAAACTGCTAACGTGTAAGTGAATATGGAATCAACAATTGGAACTACCAATTGAAATCAAACCGTCAAAAAAACAAATCACAATGATCACCAGCAGATTCAAACACAAAAACTCGATAAATTCTATCCAAAATGAAGTCCGCACAAAACCCCCAAATCTGGGAACTTAGAGTGGCAACTGGGAAAATCAATCGCATTGCGTAGGAACGTGATTTTCATTCTAGAACAATCGGGTGAATTAGGGTTTGGTACGGTGATGAGAAAAAGTGAGAGTAAGGGATCAAGAGATTGTAAGTACCTTGGGGTTCGACTATTGCAGAGATGAGAGAGAAGAAACATTGGAGGGAAACCCTAGTTCAGAGAGAGCACTCTCGATCAACTGGACCAAGACTACTCGGCCTATCCGCCATTCTCAAGAGCGTTCTCCTCCGCAGCTACACTACTGAAACACTTAATATTACTGCAGCTACACTACATGAGAAACAGCTAGCAAGTAGCAATATAGAGCACATATTGGGATTCAAGTTTACTCTTTGAAATGATATGAGCCTTTCCAAAATAAGTTTTGTTTGAATCCCAATATGTTTCCCAAGTAAGTTTAATGGATGAATCCCAAATTTTTCCCTGAGAAAGTTTAATATTTGATATGTTACCGGCCTTCCCTCAATCTGCTCCTCATGAATTTTATGTGAGTAGTCAAGTGCATTTTATTATCAATCCATTACTTGCATAAATCCTTTTTAAAAAGAACTGAGTGAGGAAAGAAAAGGGGCAATTTTATTTTATTTTTTTTATTTGATGACTAAATTTAAGGAAGTAGAATACAAATCTACCATGTTTCAAAATGTGCATTCCCAACTGAAAATCACAATGAACTTTTCAGTATCTTTCGTCATTACTATAACAGTTTAGGCCTTTGCTCATAACCAATGTGTTGTGATAATGATGTGATGAATTATTCAACAATAATGATGTAATCACAAAAGATTAATTAATAAAGATAAAAACACATCAGCATCAGCATCAGCATCTTTTGTAGACCAAAAGAGAAAGAGTAGTATAACCTAATCAACATAATCTCTTGAAACACCATGGCAAGAAGGGGAGGAAAATTTTTGAAGGTACGAAACCATATTATAAAAATTCAGGAAACTTCCGTGATCAAAAAGAGCTCCATATTATTCACAAACCTAAAACAAAAAAAATTGTAATCCAATACCCAAACTGAAGGAAACAGAAATCTCTGTAAGTATAAGCTTTAGGGGTATGAAAAATTAGAGATTTTTGCTGTATGAGAACAATAGTTTTTCTATGAATTTGGAGATTCAATCATAGATGACAAATTAGGTAAAGTCATGCGGTTCTCATTCTATACAAAGATAAATTTTTATCAAAGCTTTCCAAATAGTTTAACTCTTGAAGACTGAAGCATATATATATATGTGTGTGTGTGTTCACCTTCGCAATGCTGTGTGACGCTAAGATGGTGGCTACCGTAGTTGTTGCGACTGAGGAGTGTGGGTGTCGACGAAAAGGAAGAGCCAATTATAAATATAAACACTTTTAAAAATAGTTTGTGTTGTTTTATTATAGAGATATAAAATTAAAATTAAAAAAATATATTCAATCACATTTATATAGAAATTATGATTAAAAATATATATATAATCACATTTATTTGAAAGGTACCCATTCAATTAGATTAATTGTAATTAAAATATTATTCTCATTTTTTTAATTATATTTTTAATAAAAGTGAGACTTTTTAATTCTTCACGTGTGATCTTTAAGTATTATTATAACAGTGAAAATAAATATTTAAGTCAAAAAATTTGAAAATTTGTATATTTTTCAATTTAACTCTGATTAAAGCCTATTTTATATCAATAAAAAGCTTGTGGAGAGTACAATCTAAATATGTAACTTTAATTTATAAGAAAATAAATTTTATTTTCTATTTTTAAGTACCAAAAAATCTGTTGTATGCAAAAAATACATATTTAACTCAAAAATTTTGAAAAATCATATATTTTTTAATTTAACACCAATTAAAACCTATTTTATATGAATAAAAATCTTAGGGAAAATTGGTCTAGGGTCCCTCTCCCACTTTTCGTAATGGAAGAGATCCACAAAATTATTTTATAATGTCTAAAGTCCCTCAACTCCCACACCCATATATCACAGAGAAATTCCCACCTCTCTCTCCCCCGATCTCATCACTTCACCTCCACTAAGTTTGGTCTCTCTCTCTCTCTCTCTCTCTCTCTCTCTCCCCTACATCAATGGCAGCTAGACAAACAATCGTCTGAGGATTCGAATTACAGACGCAAAACAGATTGTAATCCACATATCTCTGTTTATCTCTCTCTAGCTCTCTGTTTACAGGTTCTTCATTTGCTTCATATATACACGCAGACACAGTTATTCACGAATGGTTCTTCTTCAACCCACATTTTTGGTAAAATGTTTGTTTTGAATTTGACAGATTGTAATTGCGATGTTGCCGAGAACGAGCAGAGATGTGACTTATCTCTCTAGGGTTTCATCACACAAGAACAACATGGTAACTAGAAGAGATTTTCATGGTTTCTCATGCCGAAGCTATTCCAAAGTCGCCGCTGCCACCTAGGTGTTGATCGCAGCCGATTCTACTGAGAAAAGTTATGTGAGTACACCTGAGGTATAAATTCAGAATTAGCAATTTGGATTTTGTGAGAATGTTATTGATTCTCTGTTGAATGAACTTGTTGCTTATAAAAAAAATTCATTAGAATTTGATGATACTAAGTCGTTAATTTTAGCCTCTTCTTGATGGCATCTATAGTGGTAAAAATCTTCATTGTCTGTTTCTTATTTGGCCAAAAATGGACAAATGATCATCTGAGGATTCGACCAGAGAAATTCTCTGTGAACTGTGAAGTTTAGAGAAAATTGGACCAGAGAAAATCTCTGTAAACTAGAATTTCTCTGTAAAGTCCAAAGAAAATTCGTCCAGAGAAATTCTCTAGATCGAATTTTCTCTGACTAGTTGAGTCTAACTGATTCAATTTCCCCTTCTATAGCTTGTATTATATCTGTCAACTACACAAATGATGTATTCTTGTACATGTGTGCTTTTGGTATTGTTGTTGTTTCTTGGTAATAAAGTTTGTGCATCATTTGTGTTGTTTAGTTACTGATATAGAGGTTGATGAAGATGTTGAACAAGAAGATAAACGTGGAGTTCAAAACTTTCAGCATCTCTCTGTTCTACAAGAGGCAAAGCAGTCAAGTAAAAGTCCTCTTCATCTCGTTATTGCTCCGAGCCTTCACTTCCAACTCGGCCGAATCCAATGACCGCGACAATAATTCAGGCTTAAGCATTAGCGATTGTATAGAAAAGTGCTGGAACAATTGCAGTTGTGTTGGGTTCACCACAAGCAATAGCAATGCTGGTCCAGAGAAATTCTCTGGGTTCCAAGTTAAGCATTCCAGGTTCCAAATTGTGAATTGAATTTTGTTTTCATTTGAAGTTGAAACCAGAGAAATTCTCTGATTTTTGAAGTGAATTTTCTCCAGGTTGAAACCAGAGAAATTTTCTGGTTTTTGAACTAAATTTTCTCTGGGTTGGTCCAAAGAAATTCTTTCCAGAATTTCTCTGGACCAATTTTCTCTGTGACGTTAATTTTCTCTGGACCAATTTTCTCTGGGACTGAAATTTCTCTAGATTGATATTGAGGGACCTTCGACATCATGAAAATATTTGATGTCATTTATACTATAAAATCATAATATCAGGGACCTTAAAAAAATACCCCAAAATCTTATGGAGAGTACAATCTAAATATGTCAATTGCATTTACAAAATAATGAAATTTTATTTTCTGTTTTTGAGTACCAAAAACTTTGTTGTATGCAAAAAATACATATTTAACTCAAAAAATTTGAAAAATCATATATTTTTCAATTTAACTCTGATTAAAACCTATTTTATATCAATAAAAAGCTTATGGGGAGTACAATCTAAATCTGTCAATTTCATTTACAAAAAATGAAATTTTATTTTCTGTTTTTGAGTACCAAAACATTTGTTGTATGTGTATTACCCAAAAAAAAAAAAAAAAAACTCTTTGAATATGCCATAATATAAAACAATATTAATGATGCATTAATCTAATAGTACAAGCAATAACAAATCAATGTCGTACTAATCAAGAGGCGAAAACAAGCAATAGGCGAAAAAGAGTTAGTAATATGCTATGATAGAGAATCAGCAACCTTGCCAATTTGAAGTGTGTGTTCCATAAGGGAGACTCTAATAGCCTCTCTACTGATGTGGAGTTTGCAACAAGAAGGGCTCGCAAGTCAAGATTTCGGATCTTACTGCGTGGATGTTTTTCTGCCTAAGGTAACCTATATTTTCTAACAGTGATATCAGAGCATTTTACTAACTGTCACGACCCAAACCCGCTCCGATAGGTTTAGCGTCGTAACCGGCCAGTTATCTTTGGATTACTAAAGGTCTCTGAACAGATTATCACGCAATAAGGGGCTGCAGAAGTAAATATAAAAACATACATAGTTCATAGAGCTATGCAGACATACATGGGACAGATAATTTAAAAACCTTGTATATATATACATATATAATGTCATAGACATCCATCCAACCTTGTCATCATACACAAAATAGAACAAAAGAACTAGTCACAAAACAACAAAAGTCTTAAGCTTATGTCTTGGTTTACAAAACTCGACCATTGAACCCTTTCTGGAACTTCCTCGGGAGGCACAATAGTTGGCCGACAAAACGGAGACTCTAGGTCATCAACTCTAAGCCTGGTCACGCACCTGGTCATCTACATACATAATATAAATAGTGAGCAAAAGCTCAATGAATAATAACAGGGTAAAGATTTTAATAAATGATGTCCAGTTCTGTATCATATCAATCAGAGAAATAAGCATTGTTGTATCAAAAACAGAGTCATGTTCATATTCGTATTCAATTCATGTGTGGTACTTCCATTAGCATTAACATATCATTTTGGTCAAACATATCAAGTTCCATAATAGAACCTCCGGTACCAGGTAACATATCTTATACATGGGCCTCAGTATTGTTTCCTCCGGGCGAGGGCCTCATGACCATAAGTCACAACATTATTTCCCCTAGGTGAGGGCCTCTGCTAAGGATACCGCAAATACATTTCAAAGTTATGGATCACAAAATAGCCTTTTGTATCATTCAAAAACAATTCATAACATATCATGGTGTTCAGAAAGTATTTTCATATCAAACATAGCTTTACTAAGTTATTACTCACAGATAATTGCATATATAGCTTTGATAGCAACTAATGGATCAACAGCTCACGGCACGTGACCTACACAAACATAACAGATACACATATCGAAACACATGCTCGAGTCGTACTTAACTTATCTTATTTTGTTCTTAGTGTGTTTCTAGCCCTTATCCTCATTATTATATTTAATCTCAGACTAGGAATGTCTAGGATGCAATGAGGATGCCAAAACATGTTGTTCAACACTTACACAAATTTGCTAAAAACAGGGTCCTCGCTCGAACACAGCTTATTTCGCTCGAGCTGACGTTCAAAAATGTGAGAGGTCGCTCAAGCGCAATTTTGGTTGCTTGAGCGGTCTGTAAACTTTGCAAAAGTACTAGTTGCTTGATTTTTCCGCTCGACGGTAGCTCGAGTATGAGACTGAGGTCTTCGCTCAAGCGCAACTCTTGTCGCTTGAGCGGTCTACAAAACATAGAAATTCTAGGAGCATGCAATTTACGCTCAAGCCAACTTTTGGTTGCTCGAGCGGAGGTTCAAAAATAAAGGTGGTCACTCGAGCACAGGATTTGTCGCTCGAGCGCAGGAGCAGAATTCTGGAATTTCTAGATTGCACTCCCGCGCTCAAAACTCGAATTTAGCACATCAAAACTCATCCTCTTAGGCTAAAACTTAAGAAAACAATTAGAAACTTGTAGAATATCATGAATTGAATATCATTTCGCAAAAATCAAGGCCCAAAAGCATGTCAATTATGTGAAATCAAACTTGATGTTTCATTAACATAACATGTATGTGAGTGATTTTCTGACCACACTGCCAACTCAGTATTCAGCTGGAGAGTACTGACAGAATAGATGACACCTGGCTGACCTGCAACAGAAAGAGAAGATTCCGGTGGTGGTTCATCCACCTGGGGGTACTCCGACGATCAAATCAGTATATCTCTCAAAGATAATCAATTGCTAAACTCTCTGTTCTAAATATAAATTGCGTACCTTAGACCCATCGGCGGTGTCTTTCTTTTATAGTTAACTCAATCCTTGTCCCAACAGAAGCCTAGCTTCAATGGACTTTAGCTCAGTGCTTATCCAGGACTCTTTAACAGATAGAGATAAACTCCCTAAGAGCTTTATCCTTATCCAGGCTGAGTCCCCTTATCATTCTAGGACTCTTATGCCTTATCCGCTTATCTCGGATTCTGATATCTTTGGAGATAACCTCGGCCGTGCCGAGATAACCTCGGCGTCATGACCAGGACACGTGGCACCTCGGTTGACACGTCGGCGTCACC